AAATTATTTCTATCCCCAAACCTCTCACTTCACTCTTCCCTATACCAAGAATCCATCAATAATTCTATTAATGTTTTTATATAAATAACTTTTAATCTCTAACAGCACATGTGACATTTGCCTATACAAAAAGCTACCAATAAATCTATTAATGTTTTTATATAAATAACTTTTAATCTCTAAAAGCACATGTGACATTTGCCTATACAAAAAACCATCAATAAATTTGTTAATGTTTTTATATAAATAAATTTTGATCTCTAAAAGCACATGTAATTTTTGCCTATTCAAAAAATCCATCAATAATACTACTTAGGAAATGTGAATCTGTACTATTCATTCTCGATAGACTTGATAATTCGTATAACATATACGATGATTGTAGTCCTGATGACCATTTTGTGCATAATGATGTGAGAACCGTATGACCTCCGAGTTTTTTGAGCGGCCGGCTCTGCCATTCGCTCATTGATGAGCAGCTGGCGCTCATCAACTCGTTGGTTATACTGCTCTGGTCGGCGGTCGTGCCGAACCCCATCCGTGGCTAAAATAATAAAATTAATTAATTAAATAATTATAAAAAACAAAAATACATAATAAAATATTACTTACTATATATTAATGGTATACACAGACAACACACAAAATAATTAAATAATAAGAAAATAGAAGTTATAAAATGAAAAGATAGAAAGATTGTAAATAGTGAAACGAAATGATAGATAAAAGTATGTATTATTAATATAAAGTGAAATATTGTAGATAAGGAAAAAACTAAAAAGTTATAGATAAAGAGAAATGAAATGAAAATGCAAATGCAAAGTAAGTGAAAAGTTTAAAGAGAAAAGATAGGAAAGAGATAAATGAATGAAAGTTAATTAAAAATAAATTAATTACAATGAATAAAGGACACAATAAATAAATAATTAAAATAATAATAATTAAAACACAAACAATACTTACATGTAAAACAATATAAAAAGGACACACAAATACAACACAAACAAATAAGAGTGAAACGTGAACTGTAAAGGGTGAAAAACAATGATAAGATAGAGAGAAAAAAAAGTAAAAGTTAATGAAATGTTAATGAATAGAAATGATAATGAGTAGAGAATGAAGGAAAAGGAAAATGCAATATAACCAGAAAGTACAGAAAATAGAGACAAAAAACACATACATAAAGGGACACAAACAGGACACAAAAACAGATTAAAAAAACAAGGATCACACGCGATGCTATGCGTTAACCACAATTCGGGAAATGCGTCAGAGATTTTACATTTTTCAATACTATTGTTAGAATACTTTCACTATTATTATTTTGAGAATTTTAAATGTTTTTGACGACAATTAGTTCTATGTATTATTGCAGGTTCATTTATAATCCAATTGTCCCATTGATATACCATTACACATGTTATCCATATGCCATAGACTCAGCATTACCCATAGACTTAGCATTGTCCATAGACTCAGCATTACCCATATACTTATCATTGCCATAGACTTAGCATTACCCATGTTATCCCTATGCCATAGACTTATCATTGCCATAGACTTAACATTACCCATGTTATTCTTATGCCATAGACTTAGCATTACCCATGTTTAAGTATAGCCATAGACTTATGCTGTAATCCCATGTTATTTGCCCATAGACTCAAGAATCTCATGTTAAAATATAGCCATAGACTTAAACTGTAATCCCATGTTAAATCCCATAGGGTGTGGGGAGGGGGAGGGGTAGCGCCGAGATCTAATAAACCACATTCTTCATTCTGAATTGTGGTAAATAATTGTCAAAAGATTAAAAATATTGTAATACTAAAGTGATCTGAACTTATGTTACTTTGATTAAACATGTATTAACTGTATTCAGAATCATATTTATTTGTATTAATTATTTATATATTCAGAATGACTTATAATTGTATTCACTATTACTTTATGATTATTGTATTACACATTCTGTACTTATATGCTTAATATCTAATGTTCTGTTATTTTCCAATGAGTACTAAATGACTATTGATGTATATATTAATTAGGATTTTCTGTAAACCTGAGCTCATCTTATGGGTATATAAAACTGAGCCAAACATGTATATAATTTAGTCCATTTTTAGTATTCAATAAAATCGTTTTATAATAAACGCATTGTGTGTGTATTTGATGTTTTGGGAGCTGAACACCTCACCCCGGTTCAGCCCCCATCAATACTTGCATTAATTTGTCGTGACTGACGGAACATCTTGTGCGGTCTGGCACAACATGTGCTAAAGTCCTAATGTTGGCACAGTATAAATACTGGAGTCAATTGCTGTAAAAATCAATTGAATACTTGGGTTAATAAAGTAATTTTTACTGAAAACACATGAGTATTTAATTCAACCGAAACTCTGGTAGACTGACCGACGGCTCCTGACGACTCAGGCGATTGGCGACTCACCCTACAGATGACGGCTTCCCAGACGGTTGGCGACTATTCAGATGGTTGGCGACTGCCCAGACGATTGACGGCTTCCCCTACGGGTGGCGACTACCGAGACGGTCGACGACATCCCAGACAGTTGGCGACTACCTAGACGTGTCGTTTCTGACTAGACAGAAACCCAAACTCCGTAGTCTGATTTAGTACCCGTTTAGTCCGTTAAAATTCACTAGAGTTCACAGGTCCGGTGACTGTTGTAGCGACACAGTCCCGGTCTCCCCTATTAGTTAACCTCTCAGCCCCAAACGCCCGGCGACCTTTGCGTCAGCCCTTTGCCGGTGGCATAACCACCAGGCGGCTGACCGCCACTTGCCATACGCCGTGCGCCTAACGAGCGACCAGGCGGGCTCTTCAGCCCTTTGCAGGTGGCATAACCGTTAGGCGGCTGGACGCCACTTGTTATATTGCGTGCGCCTAAAGCGCGGCCAGGCGCGCTCATCGGCCCTTTGCCGGTGCCATAACCACCAGGCGGCTAGACGCCATTTGTACTAAGCCATGCCATTAACGCACAGTTCGGCGCGCTCTTTAGCCATTTGATGATGGTCTAACCATCAGCGGCTACGCGTACACTATACAAATGTCAGGCAATCATTGCCTGATGCCGGCGCAAGTGCCCTTCGCCAGGAGCCCTAAACTCTCGGCGGCTCTACTCCGACCTCTAAACAATCCTCGGTATGATCTGGGGCACAAAAGACCGCCATATTTATATCAATATCTATAACAAATATTACGCCAAATCACTCAATTTACCAAAGCATTGCACGTAAGGCCTGAGCAAACGGATCCATGGGGAAAATGTAACTTGTTGACATATAAAGACTTTGGTCGCGACCAACAGTCGACTGTCATTCAATTGTAATACGTCTATAGAATCAAAAAACTCGTGATATTTAACGGAAACTTTGATACAGTTTGCGATCACATCGCGAATCAACGCTTTATTGATAGATTAAACTTGAAAAAAGTTGGCAGTCATAGGCATGTACTGCGGTATCTTACATAAGTTTATAAGATTTAAGTTTGTAAAATGCTTACAAGGTAGACTTTAAATATAATATATTTATGCATTTAGTTCGTGGAAAACTACGAACGGATTCGGCGGGGGTTTTGTCCAACACTACGAGAAGAACCTGAGCTTTGTGTTGGTTCGCGGGGCCGGACATATGGTTCCTCACGACAAACCCGAGGCCGCACTTCAAATGCTTAAGAATGTAATCGGAAATTAACAGTTTTAATACAAAAATCCATTATGTTAAATAAATAAAAATATAATTTAAATAAAAATGAGTTTATTTATCTGTCACTTAAAATGAAATATGTTTTATGAAAATTAGCATTTATGACCTTTATAAGAATTTTTCTCGATAATAATAATATTTTTATTAATAAACATGATTTCACTGTAAATATGTTTAATGTTTCATTAAATTTGATTTTAAATGTAATCCAAATAGTTAATTTACATTGATTTAGTAATCACTGATTACTAATCAGTAAACAGCGGGAAAAAAGAGGATAAAAATATTTTAATTGTTGTAATTTTCAAAAAATGCGAGACTAGTGTTTTCAAAGGAACTAACAATTAAACCCGATTTTATTAATTAACGGGTTTTAATACAAACAAATGTTCCTTTCATTCGATTACCGAATATACAAATCTGGTTTAATTGTTAGTTTTTTTGAAAACACTAGTCTCGCATTTTTTTGAAAATTACAACAATTAAAATATTTTTATCCTTTTTTCCCGCTGTTTAGTAATCAGCAACTTTTTAAGCTTAACAACAATTTTATACCAATCATAATTGTTATCTATGTTTTTTGCGAGATTTTGCTGTCTTACTCGGACTCCTGTTAGTTATCTTATCATATAAAGTGTCCTTTTTATCAAAATTAATGAAATCAATGTCCGATCGATTAGTGAATGCCTTTAAATCTTTTGAATACAATTTAGCCGCAGATTGTTGTGGCTTTAAATCCGGTTCACATTCACTAAAATATGTGTAGTCTTTGTTAACAGCCGTATGTTTTCCACAAAAAACTACTGATAATTCATCTCTAATTCTGCAAAAAATTTATCAATTAATACATTAGAAATTGAACGCAAAAATAACATTAAACAAAACTAATTACTTTCTGTCCATATGACTTAAATAATTAAGTTCAGCGAAATCCATATCAATAAACTTGTCTCTATCGATGTTTGACTTGAAACCAGTCCATTGAAGACCAATTAGGGTAATATTTTTCACCACAAACTTAAACGTAACTAATAGTGTGTGAATGTGCCCTGGTACTATTTGGGACATATTGCGGTTTATAAAAAGTGTGGTCTCTTTGCCGTCCACTTCGCCTTTGATGCTAATGCGGGCCACTCTTGCTTTGCTCGCATCCGATTGGTTGGCCACATGAAAGGCCATCTGATAATGATATACTGTATTATAATTAGATATTCAATGAATGAATGGCTAATTGTTTGTGAATTTAATAATTACAGCAATATTCTTTCTTGTTTCCCGTATTCAAGTAGTATTTATATCCCTCAACGGTTTCGACACTATTGACGGCAACGGACTCCCAGTGTTTCGGATAAAAGCCCATCTGTTGGCAGTAATTCGTGCCGTTTATGATATCGCAAACACCGCACCGGCCCTCAAGAAATGTTAGCCAATCCACGCATAGATACCCCACGGGTTGGCAATACTTGTTATATACCTCTGTTGAATGATATTTTGTAAATTGTAAATTAATATTGTAATATTAGGGAGAGAGAGAGAGAGAGAGAGAGAG